TGTGATGTTTCAATAATCCTATTTATTTTCAAAGTTCTAGTATACGGCCGATACGTTTCGACTTCCGGGAGATTTTATTTCAGTAACGCGATTGTGTCAATAATTATCCGTGTTTCTAACAAGCGGCTTCTACTGTACCTATACATAATAATTATAAAATATATTGTTACGCTAAGTGTTTGTACAGACGACGGGACTAGTTCCGGTATGTGCAATTTAGGTGGCTATCCATTTCGTGAAGTGTTGTCCGGATAGCGGAATTACGCTAAGTGGAAAAAAAGCGTTTCCATTTCGCAAAATATACAATTATATATTACTCTATATGGATGCGACAAATATACACATATTATATTATATATCACTACAGTACAGATGTTTTTTTATAATTGGATAAAATTTATCGCTTTCGATAAAATACTGCAGTACAGAAATAAATGCAACCAAATGTTAAACTGTTGACTTTATATTATTATGACCATTTGGTGAATCGAAATATTTTATTAATCTCAAAATTTTTAAAATTGTTTAAGTCATTATTTTGACTGTGTATTTATAGCGTTCGGCCGTTGCGTGTATTATGATATATCATAATATAATAATATTATGTGAACGCGTGTAGTAATAATTATTCTCGGTATACGCATATATATACACGTATAATATAGTACCTTTATATTATACAATATAAAGACGCAGCGATGATTTTTCTACACGAACACCTAACCATAAAAAGAAAAAAATAATACCATATAATATATTACACAGGTATATTATATTCTATTTGTTTATTATTTCTTCCGCCGTAACGCGGATGGTTGTTACTTTTTCGCTGTACCTACATACACACATACACACATATATGTATATACATACATATATTATTGTGCATTTTAACTTATAAGCTACTGCCGATGCCGCTGCCGGTTCGGCCGAGCGCATGAGTAGAGAATATTATTTTTTATATGGAACCGCCGCTCGCGGTATAATATAGTAGTATACGCGTTGCGTTCAGTTTTTATTGGTATATTATTATTACGATTTTGTTTTTTTTTTCTCGACCGCCACCACATACACGCACACACGTCAGTACATACCACTACATATGTGTGTATAGGTTCGTAATTCGACAAACCATAAAACTTAATAATATAGTTAATATATATATATATATATATATATATATATAGTAGACGCGGTAATATTATACATATTTTTATTTAAATAAAATCCGAAACCACCGCTCTCGCTGCAGCGGTGGAAGGGTATTTTTTTATTTTTTTTATTGTTTAATTGTGTGCGAAGTGCGCAATCACGACCAACGGACTGACGTGCTACTGCAGGCGTATAGATATATCGCAATTTTTACGATTTTATAATATGTGACGACTTGCGCGTATTAAGGCATAAATATGTATATTATGCGCGTATAAACTGTATGCTGTGTACGCGCGATAGAATATTATTATTATATATATTAGCGTTATATGTTTATGTTCTGTAAAACGATTCATGCGGTGTCTTGTCTTCTCCGCGAGTATTTTTTATGCAACTCATCCCGTTCTTTACACCGAACAGCGTCGTGTTGCTTTAATACTTCGCTATTATATTTAAATATATTTATACGGCGAGGTTTGAAATATCTAGGTGTACTTTGACAGCAACACAATTTTTTTTCGTTTATTCCAGAAGATTAAATACATAAAATCAACTATATCGGCAACAGAAATGTACGTAAAATGGAATACTATCAACACGTATGTACATTGTTTATACTAGGAATCACCAATTAGTAATTTTGGAGGGCTACATAGGAATTCAGAAAGTTATAGAGGGTCATTAAACTCGATCTCATTATAACATCTGCAGCATCGTATGTGAATGATCCATTCTACTATAGGTATGTACACCGAGTTTTTCATTATTCCTCTTGCACACAAAGTTCGTTTAACAGAACTATATACTATATCATACAATACAATAAATATTTATTACTTTTGAGAATTTTGATGCAAGTTTTTAGTTTTTAGTTTTTAGTATATTGTATTTTCTAATTGGTTTTTTAACCTTTCCTAAACGAAAGAATAACGCTTAGTGTACGTATATTTTGATGCATAATAAATTTAAATTATAATGCGTATATAGACATAATTTAAGTTCTGATGTTAATGATATTTGAGAACTACGTTTTATGATCATTTTTAATATTTGTTATGGACTTATGGCTAACACTAAAGACTAAAGTTATCGGTCCCATTACTTTTTATTTTGATCGCTGTTGAGTTTTGATTTTTGTAGTCAAATCTTCAATCTTCTTATATGTAATTGATTTATTTTTTTGTCGATTCACCTAACTTAACCTATAGAATGTTACCAAGTTAAGTCGCGGCCTTTGTCTTCGACACGTGTGTCTAACTGGCTGAGTCTACTTCCGGTGATGTTTGTATCCATAAGAGGTAGTTAATAGGACGAGTGTCTGCAGCGGTACTTTGCAGTGCTTGTACTTTGTACTTGTAATTGCTGCGAATCATGTTAATATACGTAGATCTCTAGATAATTATTGATCTGCTTCTTATTTTCTAATCAGAATAATATATTAATATATAACTCGATGTGATTATAAAAAAAGTTACGTTAAATTGTTATGATGAACTAAACAAAATAATAAAAAAAATAATTAATAACTTGTGTAAAACTTTTTAATAACAAAGTTCTACTATAAATATAATTATTAACTACGCACTATAGTACATAACTGTAACCATAATAATTGTATGTTCTTTTACATTTTTTTTTTTCATTTAAAAACAATGTAGGTATTTACAACTTATACAATTTTACAATGTATAATAAGTAAGTTTGATGACTTACAATAGGTATAATAATAGCATTCATTACAACTATAGCAGTACCCCTCGATTTGAAATTTTCTTATGTATTATCGTTTTAAATTTAGATTCTGAAAAATCAAGATGTGAAATTTATTGAGGTATATAAACCTATTGTATTTTTAATATTTTTATTTTATAATTAGCTATTAAAATTATAATTTATACGTACAAAATACTTTTGTATACCTTTGTTATAAAAATATCATTTTTTTATCTATATTTTTTTTTTTATTTTATTCATGACGCTTTTAAAATTTATACATAAATGAGACGTGTATAATAATCTAATTTAAAATCAATATTTAAAAATAAATGTTTCTAATTAGTTACATAATACTGTCATAAGAGATAAAATATATTTTTATATAGCATATTCACAAAACTGAAAAACTACAATTTTTTGTTTAAATTTGTGCATGCAGGTTTCAATATCAGCGTTTATTGTGTCTTTTTCCTTATCGTTGTCGGTATGCGATAATTTAACAAATTTATTGGAGTAGAAAATTACGGGTGTGACGGGTGTGCAGTGGTTTTAATCGATTTACATAATGGCGATAAGCCAGTCAAATTTAAATTTTAAATGTGTATGCAAGATTTTTCCAAAACGACCTCGATCCAGTTAACCTCGAATAATGTCGTCAAAATCGGAATCATCGTTTGAATGACTTGTTTTTATTTTTGTTTTGACTGGGTGTTTTGATTCATAATTATTATTGGTGCGAGTGATTTGGATGTTCCGATAGTGGTTTGATTAGTAATAAGTACGGATATGATGATATAGTAACTGATAAGTGATAGGAAGTCGGTTTAAGAATATTACAAACGTATACCTATTTCATGAAGTAACGTAATTAAAATACTTTCAAAAAGAATTTAAATTGTTTAGAGGGACAAGTTTTTTTTTCAATAATAATTATTTGTTTTTCTGTTATTTTAGCGCAATTTTTACAATAAGTGAAAATAAACATTTTTTAAATTTTTCTTCAGATGGGTTAATAATATTAATGTTGTTATGTATATTTCTAGCCTTCAGTCAGATTTTAAGTAGGTGTTTGTTAGTTATTGATATGAAAGTAAGCAAAGTTCTTTGGTAATAAAAAAAAACGACGTATTCATTCTTACTATTGTTTGCGCTTGGTCGGTATATCCACTAAGGTGATAGTTCACAGATATTACAAAGAAAAAGATTAATTTTACGGGATAGAACTAACCTTTGTGCTTGTTAATGAACGATTAGATTGACAAACCAAATGTTGTAAATGTATAAACTATTAGTACTTATATAATATTATATAGATACTAAGAAGCAGAACGAAACCGTTTGTATATGGTATCCAGTAATCTAATTAAATCTGCGTTACCATGAATATCATGATGAAAATCTAATACGTCTCCATCATTCTGCATCATAGTAATAAAATATATCATTTATCGATTTTATTTATGCAAAGACAGATAAATTATCTTATTGAAAATCGTAGGCGCTGCAAACAAACTCTTTAGAATTTTCCCATCGTTGCGCCGCTGAAAAGACTGTTTCGGTTGTGTGATTTTTTATCAAACATTATTCCTATAATGTAAAGAAAATCAAAAATTTTCCAATTGATTTTAGTATTTAACTATAGTTATTGTTGTTGTCATCGTTTTTTGTATAACTATGGATGGATGTTAAAGGATTGAAGTGGATATTCGTCGGAGACAGAAGTCAATAAAATAATTAAAAATAGAACCGTCCGTGGGTAAAGATCTGAATTTCTGACACATAGTTGCTGGTAGATATTTAAATATACGCATTAACATAATATATTTTAATATGTCACTATCACGAGGAACTTGTTTAAAAAGTTTTTTTTATATTTCAAAAGTTTGTTTTGTAAAAAACCATTCGAAATAGTGGCACTGTCGACTTCATTCAGATCGACAACCGCTTTTAGCAGAAGTACTATTTTTAATAATAATGTATAAAATGATTTTGTATACCCATCTCTATTTTATCTTTATGATTATTATACATTTATATCACTATTATGACGTATTCTGATTGCAAATATGTGTTATATGAATTATGTCAAACAAAAATAAACGTTTTAAATTATATTTTATTGGTTACAGACAATATTTGAACACTTGATAGCATATAAGTTCTGTTTGCAAGTGTACACATACATACGGATACGGCACACACATCTAAGCAAATGGAGTGTCTTGTCTCCTGTTTATTACTACTGATGGGCAGGTACGTGTTAACCTTATACCTATACATAATGCAATAAATAATAATAATAATAATAATAATAATAATATATATAGGCACAGTAAGACTTCTGTTGACAGTGACTTCTATGTGTAACGGTCGTTGTATTTGGTCCTATAGAGCAGTGGTCGGCAACCGGCGGACCGCGGGCCACATCCGGCCTGCGAGTCTATTAAATACGGCCCGCTTTAAATTCTATAACAACGAAATTTAATTGAATATCATATCAAAAAAAAATCATATTGTATAAATATAATTAAACGTTTCTATTAGTCATATTTTATAATAGTAAATATACCTTGACAGTAACCGATAAGATAGAGTAGATACGACGAGTGTATTTGGGTTATAATCTTAATTTTCGATTGTGCTCAGTAACATTGCGTTTTTCAAATCACATTAAGCCTATTAAGCAGTTGTAATTTCCATACTTTTAAATTATAATAATATTATTAAAAACTGTAATTTTTATGTTCTATTAATCTATTATTTTAAAGTTTTAAACAGTTATTTTTTTTCTTAGTAAATAATTTGGAATATAAAATTTTAATTTTTGTCTGGCCCGCGAACTCTTTTTAATTTATTAATGTGGCCTTGGAGTCTAAAAAGGTTGTCGACCACTGCTATAGAGTGTTATGTGAAAGGAGTACAATAACACCTTTTGCTATTGAAAAATAATTTACCTAAAAAGAAAAAAAAATGTTCAATTACAATATATTTTCTAATAGGTATAAATGGTAATTAAAAAATATTATTTTATTAAATTTTTACCACAACGTGATGAATTCTAGTTTATTTATACTTAATAAATAAAAATTGTTCTATACAATTTTCGATTATGTAAAAAAAAATATTTTGAGAAACTTAATTACATTTTGAGATATCTCGTGATAGTGTTATCTGTTAAAATAATCGTCCAGTATTCATTGTACACTTTGCAATTAGGGTCACGCATTAGTAGATAACATTATACTATGTACGTGATCAAAAATAATATTATACTCTCTTCGATTGTACACGACCTATGTTCTGTGTGAGTAACGTTGAAGTAAATCAATAAAATGTGAATTTACTCGTGTGATAAAAAAAAGAAAAAGAAAGAGCAAATAAAATATAATAATAATTATAAATTCTGTGTTAATTATACTTAATTCAAATAGATTTTTTTTTATTAGACATTGTTATTTTTATGTTTGGGAAATGTTGTTTAAATTAATATTATTATGTAACTTTTGCGTTTTGTTGACATTTGCATGGCGATTAAACGATAAGCGTGTACGGTTAACGCAAGCCCGATGTATTTAGCGTCGGTCAAAAGAACCATTATTTTTAATAATATTCTATGGACTTAAAATAATATGCAAACATCAAATTTTACAAAACAATTCCTACTTGTTTATCGTCATTGGTCAGTACTTAGATTAAATGTAATTAATATACGATTGTACATTGCAGACTGTAGTTAATATTACTGATGTTGTCTGATGGTATAGTATGTAATAATATTAATTATATGCGGAAAGAGCATTTTTCCAGAGACCATATACAGCACATTTTTTGAATTTTATAGCACTAATCTTATACCTACTATATATCTTGTACGTTTAATTATTATTTGAAAATATAATAACCATGATTATAACACTTTGAGAACTTTATAAACAAAGGTTACGCCGCGGGTGGCTCGAGAACCCTATACCATTAAAGTAAGACTAATTCAAAACTAGTGGTTACCATATTTATACTCGTATTATGTTTATCCGTGACGTGATTTATTATGATGAGCTACGGAATTGGTTATCGAAAAAAAAAATCGTAGGTACGACGTGCATACAGATGTGTATATAAAACGTTAATCTAGTTGTTTTCCATAGATATGGATTTACAACAACAAGAATAACGTTATGCAGTCAAAATGTCAAAGGTTTTGTATGACGTACTTACGTATATAAAATTGTGCAGGTACACATGGATTTATTAAATGCAGTATTTATTTATGATAGATTTGTTAATTACGTATTACCTGTGTATACTATTATGTGATCATTGATAACATTATTTTGAAAATAATTCAAATTAAATAAATATACTTTCATTTAGTTTAGTCTATAATCTTACCTGATTTTATATTATATGTATATCACATTATTACTATTGTCGATTAGTTGTAACACTATATTATAAATTACAACCACTATATACTACCGTTCTGACGAATAATGCGATATCTTTAATTTTTTTTAATTTAAAAAAATAATATTACATTTGTCTATACGAATGTAACTATACATACATTTTCAAGTAGACCGCAATCGTTTAATTTATGAAACGATTTCCATATATTTAAAACTGAACTTGATATAGGTACGTTTTTCAATCTACTGTACGTTTGTGCCTGACTGTAGCCAAACAAGTTAAATGTTGTATAGTAGTTTAAAAGTAAAAACTTGGCGAATACAAGTCTTTAAAATGCAGTCGCGTTTGAATAATATATGACCAATTCAATTTGCTGTTTAACCACCAAGTGACTAGCACTTTATAAAGTATCCAAACTCATGAGTGCAGCCATATGTCTTGGATCACTGCCATTTTTGGAACCACTGTATTACATAATAATATATTATAGTTTCCAAAATGACAATAAACTGCCCTTTTACGTATTATAGCTATTACTATTTTAATTAGTATATTACGCACGGTTAACTCGGTTAGTAATCATTATAACTACGAAATTTGAAATATATTACTGTTGCACGATTTACAAGTATCTACACGCGATGACTGCAGTGGTGACATCGACCCCGGTAGTAGTTAACATACCTACCGCGAGGTATATGCTTAGCCAAGAAGTTAGCATAATGTCCGTGCGTAATATTATGACACGTCAGTAGATAAAAATACAAATACGCGCGACTGCGAGTGTGTCCTAGAAATACAGGTTTTAAACATAGGTAGGTATTCGTGTGGTGTACGTAAAATAATGATATGATAAAAATCATTAATTTTACAGCAACGCACATTATATAATTAGTCACTGACCTGGATACTTCATTGGCATTTTTCGGACAAATCGCAATGTACTAAATTATTATAATATTATTTGATATCATATTTAGTATTTGTACACTGACTCGTCGGTTGTTCGACAATCGTCTACATTTCATATTATCAGAAAATTCGCGCGTGTTCTTGTGAAAATATCGTTATCAGTACATCATACTTCGATTAAAATAATTAAATTATAATTAAATAATATGAATGCAGAGAGAGAGAGAGAGAGAGATAGAGAGAGAAAGAGAGTGAGAGAGCGTGACAGTAGGTTATATAATATTTTAATATATTCATACGACTGTTGGAATAACAGCAGGACCTATTGACTATTCGACATTAACACATATGGAAATAATATATTAATTAATAGGTCATTACTTATTAATATATACTTATTCTATACGTGCGACATTGTCCGGACGTAATAATAATAATAACGATAACGTTAATTTATTAACAATATAGATAGTTATTACGTGTCTTTGTAAATACGAATCGAATGTAAACATAAACATTAGACTAACGATAGTAAAAGAAAAAAAACGATCTGTGATGCACAGAAGTAAATTGCAGATGCGAGAATAATTACGTTTAAGTTTTATAAATACCTATTTAGATTTAGATCCGTTCGTATCATCAACGAATTGGCTATCATCTACTTAATTAAATATAACTGTATAGTGATTAGTGTTTGCGGAAACGATTTTAAGCGGAAATATTGCCTATGTATATATGTTGCATCCACATCGCGAAATGGACAAAGTTTACATCCATTTCGGAAATGGAAATGCTTTTTTTCCACTTCGCATGATTCCGCTATCTAGATAACATTTCACGAAATGGATACTAAAACTACACATAACAGAACTAGTTCCGTCGTCTGGACAGACTATATTATGAACTGTATACCAATATTTATCATTATTTTGAACATAAAGAATTATAGATTGTGAATTATTTTTATTTATTTTCGTATCTGAGTGTTACTGCTGAGTGACTTTTCTCTTTTTGTCTCCATGTCTTATAGTTTATGTATTATTTTTTTCGCCCATATGCTTAATGTAAACACTATTACAGATTGTATGTAGGCCTAATCCCATAAATATTAAAAAAAAAAATATATATTTATTTATTTAAACATAAAATAGAATTATTATGACATCTAGAATTGCACTTTAAATTAGTCTTAAAACAAGCACACTTTTTTGTTTGGCATTTGCTTTTACAATAGCAACTCAAAAAGCTTTGTCCTCCTGTTAATGAAGAAATATAGTTTGTCTTAATGTTTTCTCGACTTCATGTTTCACTTTTTTAATTTTATACAATTTGAAGAAGTCGGTTGTGAGTTTCCTGCACCAAATATGATTCCGTGTTCGGTTCCTAATTGGTTCATATCATTTTTTTGGTCAGCCAATTAAGTTTGAAGAAATTAAACATTATTTTTAGCGTACAATATTTTTATTTTTTTGTTTCATTTACTATAATGATTGAATTCACCTACAACAAAATAGTTATAACCTGCTAATAATATTAATATTAATGTTACGGACCATGTAATATTTAGTATGTTTTAAAACATATATTTATCGTACGGTGTAATGACGCATAGTTTCGATCAGTTACCTAACAAGACAAGCCAATGTGAGGTCAGGACAGATAGTGTGAACATTGTATTATTTTATTAAACAATTTAAGTATGATCACACGTCGCTCACTTCTTAGAAAAGCCGAAACTCTAAGAGTGTAAGAGTCGACAAGAATCATAATTTCATAATCAAAATGCGGTGAAAGCCCTCGTATCATCGGAAATCTCTCTGTCAGAACTGGCCGCATTTATAAGGAAGACCTTGACAAGAGCTCAGCCGACGATCAGGGATATCCAAGACGCTCAAAGGCAGGTCGTAACACCACTCACGGTCTCGTTTATCAGT